GAGGACTTAGGAATGCATTCATCGGCTATCTTCTTCAGCTCATCAGAGAATAGTTGTATAGGATCAGAAACGTCAATAAACAGATCAGGTTTGAATGTATTAGAAGCAAGCATTTGAAATAAAGACCAGTCGGCCTTAGTAAAGTTCCATCTTGTTGAAGGAGGAACATCTGAAGGAGTCACTGTTTGTACAATGGTAGGAAAGTGGTCACTTCCACAGAGGTCCTCGTGGACAGACCATTCAAATTCGTTTAGTAGTACAGAATCTGAAATTGATAAATCAATAGCGGAATAGGTACCTGTACCAGGATGTAAATATGTGTTTGAGCCGTCATTAAGAATACATAAGTTGTTATTAGAAATGAACTCTTCTAAAAGCTTCCCCTTGGTATTTATCTGAGTACTACCCCAAAGTGGGTTGTGTCCGTTTAAATCGCCCATAATAACACAGGGCCAAATCGAAGTAAATCAGCGATTGATAATGCGATCAAATCCATGTAAATCAGTGATTCAAACAAAATCAAATCCAGGTAAATCAGTTGTTAATAACACAATCAAATCCACGCAAATCAGCGGTTGATAATGCGATCAAATCCAGGTAAATCAGTTGTTAATAACACAATCAAATCCACGAAAATCAGTGGTTCATAACTTCACCTACTCCAGGACGAGAAGTCATTTGATAATACAATAAAATCATGGTAAATCAGAGGTTGATAACACAACCACATCCAGGTGAGTCAGTGGTTGATAACTTGACCAACTCCAAGTAAATAAATCATTGCTAACACATGCAACTCCAGGTAAATCAGTGGTTAATAATACAAATAAATGAATGTGAATCAGAGGTTGATAACACAAGCATATCCAGGTAAATCAGTGGTTGATAACACAGTCAAATTAGATGGGTCGCGAAGACCTGCTTTCGGGGGATCCGGGGGGATGCAGCCGGGGGGTATTTAACTATGCATGATAACTCATTAATATGCAACTGTAGGCATGCGTCACAGGTCAGAAAGGTTGGTGAACAGGTGTTTCTTTTTATGCACTCTTGCAATTGATGAGCCAAGCCTTCATTAAAGGACAACAATGCATAGTTATTATCATAGCACCCCGTACCATAAATAGAAACCCGCGCGCTCATAAACCTATTTAAAAAACGCGCGAGCTAAGTGCTGATTGCTTAATTTAAATCATGACTTTGATTAATCAGCACCTCGATGCAACTGTAGGCATGAGTTAAGCAAGGTGACGTGACAGGTGTTTGTTTTGATGCACTCACGCAATTAACGACCCGAGCATTCATTCATGGAAAAAGATGCATATTAATTAAGCGTAGTAGACACCGCAAAATTTGGCACACGTCACGTAACCACGTGGCCTTGATGTGTCTCACAGTTGACTCGCTGAAACTGCGTATGGTGTATTTTAGATGATGCACGATCACTTGTGAATACACCGATGCTTGCATACCGTCAGAGATCAGAAAGGTCAAAAGGTATCCTATGACCTCGTTGCACAAATCACAATTCATTAATTCATCCTTATTGAACCTAAAACAAGGCGTAGTAATCTATTCCATATAAACAAGGCCAGCCGGCTGTGTAATGTACTTACTCACACATGTGGCAAATTGTTGACATAATGTGTTCCTAAAACCCTGTACATTCCATAATAATGTGCTTTTTGTGTAGGGACAGACGAAATATGTTCAAAACCTGTGCTCGTGTTTCGAAACACATGTTCACATTTACTATTTAGACGCTTATCGTTTCGAAAAACCTGTTCACATTTACTATTTAGACGCTTGGTGTTTGGAAATATCTGTTCACATTTACTACTCGAATGTTTAGGAACGGCTGTGTTTGTTTCGTTATTGGGGAATATGTCACACACGTGAATGTTTGTCGTATGTTTAACTAAAATAACAGTTGCAACTACACACTTCATCAGGTTATGTGTTAAAACGACAACCTAATCGATGCTGAAGTAGGAACTTATACTAGTGATGCATTTGGGTATAAGCTGTTCATGTATCAAAATCGGACTGAAATACTGCAATAAATGTGCACAATGTGGCAGTGTTCTGTAGCTGAGCACGTATGACGAAGGGCAACGTGACATATCGATCAGCCAGGCACAGCAGACATACCTGCCTTGTGTCCGGGCGAGTCTATGCATATTTCATATTGTTATGACAGTCTACATTTGGCAACGAGACCAGGGGCACCATTCACGATGTCGTATTGGCCACAGTCGATTTACTCATGACTATCTGCTGAAAACGGATGGGGATGGACCCCCCATGTGTGTCTCTTGCGATGAGGTTTTCACCATCAAGCATATTCTGCTGGAATGCGTGGACATATCGTCTGCAAGGGACTCACATTATGATGCAACAAACCTAAAAGATCTGTTCTCCCGCGTGAGCGCTCATCTGATAGTGAACTACCTGAGGGAAGTTGATCTGTATCATAAATTGTAACTGTGAAATGTAACTATCATAAATTGTGAAATGTGACTAACAAATTGCCTGCCTCTAAATTTGACGCTATGACTTTTCTGCTTTTAAATGACAATGAAATGAATATATGTTTTTGAAATAAAACTCATACCGAGAATGTACTTCCAATGTTTATTAATGCAAATTTGTTCTCGTCACTATATGGCTGGAATAATGCCGAAGTGACGCAAAACCCAACTCAACATCTCAACAACAACACAAAGAGCTGTGCTTCCGTCCTGTTGCGTCTCCCAGTGTGTGGTTTCGGTTTCAACCATCTGAAGTCCGTGCACTACAGTTCCACCGACACACAGTGGACGGACAGCCTATGGTGAAGCGGTCTAAGCCAGGTTAAAAAGCTTGGATGGACTGTATGTAAACCTGTGTGGCTGCGTTACAACATAGCTTGGGAGTGTTGACAAATTTGATTGCAGGGATCTGAAGTGTCAAAATGTACATGGCGAAACATGTTCTAGTCGCCCGCATCCGGGTCACGGCACGAACTCTGTGTTAGGCGCAGCGGAATAAGTGAGTGAGTTAAGATTTTAAGTCCCATCGGTAGCATTTCAGTGACTTTATCAAGTTACATATTTTTAACAATTATATGTAAATTATAAAATGCCTGTCAACAAAGGACAGCAAAACAACTAGAATGGCACAGATACAATGAAAAACTAGTAATTAAATCTAACACATTTCAATTATAGAGGACAACACAATATAAAAACGGACGATACATCGCTAACAACTGAAGGTAGTAAGTGAGTTAATATTTAACGGCACATCGGCAATACCTCAGCCGGGGTATTCTCGGGACGTGGACACCCTGTACATGTGTCGGGTGAAAACAAAGTCCAGAAAAAGTATCAATTTCGTGTGATAAGTTACTGAGCTAATTAACGCCAGACAATAGCCAGATTGTGTGATTGCAAGACTTCGGGCAATACTAGATTGTGAAGTTATAAGGAAACGAAACAAGTTTATTTTGTACAATATTGATAAATAAATACACTGGTGTCGGCAAACCCAATGACGCTGATGCCCCCACGGTCTAATCTGACTACCTCTGTGACCTTGTTCCTAAATTTGTCTCTGAATACAGCCAATATAATCTCCGTAATAAATCAAATATATTGTAGGGCTAGACTATATAAAATAAGCTACAAACAAATATATTGTCGTGGTAAAATATGAAAAATAAGCTACAACAAATATATTGTAGTGCTAAAATATGTAAAATAAGCTACAACAAATATATTGTAGTGCTAAAATATGTAAAATAAGCTACAAACAAATATATTGTAGTGCTAAAATATATAAAATAAGCTACAACAAATATATTGTAGTGCTAAAATATGTAAAATAAGCTACAAACAAATATATTGTAGTGCTAAAATATATGAATAATCGTTCCTACCGGACACAATTAAAATTTGGAATTAATTACCTGATAATGTCGTATTCGCTAATTCAGTCGCCGAATTCAAATCTCTGCTTAAAAATGATGAATCAAAGAAAGGTTGTTTGGGTGTTTGAGTTGTACATGGTGGGTTGCTTGTTATTGATTGTGCGGTATTGGGTGATTTTAGGTTGTGTTGGGATAGTGTTTGCAATGTCTATGTAGTTTCTATATCTGTTTGTGATTCCCTGGCATTGTGGTTTGGAGGTCAGGAAGGATTGTTTCTAGGTCGATTCCGAAGTTTCTTGGTATTGGATCGACTTGGTGGGGGGATGTGAGTCGCGGAAAGTCTTTGGTAGGGGTGAAGAATAGGGATGAGCTGGGGTAGGGGGAGGCCATGGTGCGTGGGAGGGGAGGGGCAGGGTTGTGTGGTTTGGCTTTGTACACAATATATAGGTATGGTAGAAACAAATTACAAATGAACATATATACAAATGAAAGGTAAACAAAATAAACTGGGAGAAATGTGAGGGATTTACTTTGAATTATTTGATTGTCTATTTACAGATCGTCTATTTACACAGAGTCACAAGGAAAAAATGGCGTACACTTGCGATTGTTAGTCCCAGCTTGGGTGGCCACGGCCAGCGGCCGGTGGGGTAGGGGTGTCCGGTCGCTTTGCTGATGTGGGTATCTGAGGTTGAGAGGAGGAGAGTGGATTTGGTATAGGATTGATGAATTTGGTTGAAGGGTATCGATGATCGGTGTAGGGCGTACCAGGTGAAACAAGTACGTCCAGCTCCAATGAGACAGGATATGTGAATGAGATGAATTATGATGATGATGATTTGGAGTTTAACGTCGGCTTTTAGCTGTAGCCAATGTCGCCGACGGGGTAGGTGGTGGGTAAGATAATAATAAATAGGTTTGAATAAGGAGTAAACCACCGTACCCAAAAAAATATAAATAATGGGGCATTAACCTAGGCGTGATTTTGAAATGAAAAACGTTAAAAACATGGGAAAAATAAATAAATAAAAAGCCGGTATTAGGAATGGAAAGGGGGAGAGAAAGAAAAAACAGTACAATTGAATTTATAGGGATAAGAGGTAGAGTAATAGCTGAATAGTAGTAGTGAAAATGTTGGACCTATGGTGTTTGGTAGGTAGTGGAGGGGGAGAGGAGATGATAAGGGAGTATAGCATAGTGGGGCATGAATATGAATGCAGGTGAGCTGCATAATTAATATAAGGATTTAATAAAGAAAGAAAAGTGGATTAAGTTGGTAGGGGTGGGTAATGGGGTGAGGGAGCGAAGAAGGCTGTGGGTAAGGGCCGTGGCTATAAGTGAAGGTTGAGGTGAGCTGGCTTGGGTGAATGGCATTGACCTTACGTAAGAGAGGTTGGGCTGGTTTGTTTACATTTTAGTGGACTGTGATTGGCTAGGGATGGGCGCGGACCTCGCAGCGGATTTAGGGCACTATTGATGAATGAAATTTACTCCCGGGTCTAAATGTGTAGGCATGTGCTGGTGATAATATGGGTAAATTGAATTTTGACGCCTGATCTGAATATATAGGCTAGAAGTGAGTGGTAATGAGAGGGTTTGTTTGGGAGGTTCTAAATTTTTTGAAGTAAGTTGGAGTTTTCAAGGAAGGTGGCTATGGCTTGGAATATATTGGGCGGGTTGTGGGGGTTGAGAAGGAGATGAATGTTGTTGTGGTATTTGGTGGGAATGTTGTTGTGTAATTGCTTAATGTTTGTTTGTTGCAGCTGGCAGTGTGTGAATATGTGGTTTATGTCTTCATGGGTGTTGCAGTGAGTGCATAATCCGTCCGGGTGTCTGTTTTGTTTGTACAGTGTGTAGTTTAAGTTAGTGATGCCTGTAATTAATCTGGTAATTGCCCTGTCGATGATTTTGATGTTAGAATATGTGGGAATTTTTCTTATTGGGGATTTGATAATGGATGTGACCCAGGTTGATTTGTTTGTGTTGATGTTGTGTTGAAAGTTGGTATTTGATATGTTTGTTTTAATGAGTTTTAATTTCTGATTTGGATGTGTGGAAGTTGAGGTTTGGTGATGTGGGATGTGGCGAGTTTGGCTGCTGTGTCGGCGGTGACATTTCCTGTGATGTTTGAGTGACTGGGTATCCATGTGAATGTGATGTTTTTGTTTGAGCGTGTGAGTGAGTCTGTTTGAATAATTATATTGTGAATTAGGTCTGGGCGCGATTTAGAATGCATGTTGTGAAGTTGTTTGATAGAATTGAGTGAATCGGATAGTATAAGGAAGTTTGTTTGGGGAAGGGAGGGTATTAGGTGTAATGCAGTGAGAATGGCAGTGAGTTCGGCAGTGTTTATTGTGGTATAGTTGGTATAGTGAAAATTTGTTGTGATGGGAGGGGTTTGTTGAACGTGAATGCCTAGGCCTGTGGGTTTGTTAGAGCTGACTGATGCATCTGTATATATGTGTGTGTGATTGGGGTAGGTTGTATTTAAGTAGTTGTTTGTGATATTAGTTATGGTGGATTGACGGGTGTTTTTTAGGTAGTTGTTTGAGGATTGTGTCAAGGGACATGTCTGTGATGGGAGGGGGTTTGTCGTGAATGTAGCTTGTAATGGGAGGTGTGTGTTGTAAGGTGTTTAGCTGTTGTGCATGTAGCAGACTGTATAGGTGGGTAAGGCATGATGCTTTAAGTGGGTTTGATTTGAATTTTTTAAGTGTAGATTTGATTTTTTTAATGTTATTATATTTGTTTGTGATTAATTTAAATGTGGGGTTGTGTTGGGCCCCAGCCCAGTAAGTGAGTGTGGTTTGGTTTATTCTTTGTGTGATTGAAGAGGTGCCTGTGAGAAGAAGTAGTGTGTTAAGAGAGGTACCACTCCTCGCGCCGAGGGCTAGTTTAAGGGCTTTGAATTGGATGGAATTAAGTTTTGAAGATTATGGGAGGGAGGTAGTGGAGAACCGGTGCGGCGTAGTCCAATCTCGATAATATGAGAGTTTGTATATATTAATGAGGGTATGTTTGTCGGCACTCCAATTTGTGCCGCTGATGGCTCGCATTAAGTTGAGATCTTTGACATGAATTGACCAAGTTATTAATATGGGGTGTCCATGTCATGTGGTGGTCGAAAGTTACTCCTAGAAATTTCGCTTCTTTTGAATTCGATTTCTTGGTTGTTTAAGTGTAGTTTGGGGGTATAATTTTGCATATGCTGTCGTTTGAATAATATGCCCACGGTTTTTAACATTGATGTGGAACCCCATTTTGGGCCCAATTTTGAATGGAATTTAGCATTTTGAATTTTGAGTGATGCCTGTTTAACTGAGGTTGAGGAAGTCCAAAATGAAATATCGTCTGCGAATTTGGCTGTAGTGATTTCAGGCCATTTATCTGGGAAAATGTCGTTAATCATAAAGTTGAATAAAGTTGGGGATAATATGCTCCCCTGAGGGGTTCCATTCTCTAGAGGATATGGGTCCGAGATGGTGTTGTGAGATTTGATTGTTATTTGTCTATCGTTTAAAAAAGAGTGAATGAAATTTAGTATTCGACCGTGTAAGGCATGTTTTTGAAGTTTTTGTAGAAGGCCGTTATGCCAAACCATGTCGAATGCCTTGCTGAAGTCAATGAAAATGGCCATAGTGTATTGTTTCTGAGCTTGTGCTACTTTAACATCTTGTTCTAAATGTAGAATGTGGTCTAAAGTTTGTCGATTTGGAGTAAAGCCGCTCTGGTCCCTCCTTAAGTAAGTTGTTGGTTAGAATAAGGTGTTTGAGCCTGTTGTTTATAATTGTTTCAAAGGGTTTTACAAAGGTGGGAGGTAAGTGAGATGGGTCGGTATGAATCAGGCTCGTTCTTGGGTTTCCCTGGTTTGAGGATTGGTACCACTCTGGCTGTTTTCCAGCTGTTGGGGATAGTTCCTGAGGTCCAGATATGGTTGAAGAGGGTGAGTGTGAGGTTAAGCATGTTGGGAGGTAGTTTATTTAGTATTGTGTATGTGATGGTATCTGGACCTGGGGCTGAGGCTGATTGTTTGTTTTTGAGTGCAGGTTTGAGTTCATGTATGTTGATTATTTTATTTATGGGTTTGTCTGTGTGGGGGGGTTGTGGGGTGTAGGGGGGGTGGTTTTTAATAGTGTTTTGGAAAGTGGGTGGGTAGTTGGTGGAGCTGCTTGTAGCCGAGAAGTGGGCAGCAAATGTATTTGCTTTGTCTTTGTTTGTGGGTTGGTCCGGAAAGTTAGGTGAAATGGTTTTTTTGGAAATGCCCTTTATGGCTTTAAATTTATTCCACAGGGTCCGTGGTCTTCGATGAGATTGCCTGAGGGTGGAACAGAAATTTCTCCAATGGGTGATTTTGCTGCCTTGATAATTTGTTTGGTTTGTTACGTAGTTGTTTAGCTAAATGTAATTTTGAGCGGTCCCTTTTGATTGATTTAGGGCCTTTTTCTAGCCTTTCTGGCGTTTATAATTTCATGGCTCCACCACGGGACTGTTTTTGTGCGGGTTGGGCCGAAAAGTAGGGATGCATTTGTCTGTGATATTTAGAATTATGTTTGTAAGATTGCTGTTAAATGTGTTTATGTCGGGGCTGTAGATGGTTGAGGTATTAACTTGCTTGCATAATGTTTTGAATTTTTCCCAGTCTGCTTTGTTAATGTTGTATCTGGTTTCTGTGGGTATGGGTGGGGAGTGGTGGTTGCACGGGTGGGAATGTGTGAGGTAATGGTCATTTTGATGGGGCAGTGGTCGCTGCCCCAGGTGTCAGTGTGTACCTCCCAGATACAAGCTTGTGTTAGGTTGGGGTGGTGAATGTGAGGTCTATGGCTGTGGGTGTTTGAAGGTGGGAGAGGGGTAACGGGTGGGTTGATTGTCATTTAGGCAAGTTAGGGAATGTTGGTCTAGCCAGTCGGTGAGGCGGGTACCGTTAATATCAGTGTGGGGTCTTGTGCCCCACAGTGGGTGATGTGCGTTAAAGTCTCCGAGTAAAATGGTGCTGGGAGCTATGAATTTAGACAGTGTTTCCAAATCTTGGGGGGTGATTTTGATAGTAGGGCTTCTGTAGACGTTAATAATTGTGATTTCTTTGTTATTTAGTTTAGTGTTGATAGCCAGGACTTCTAGATTGGTTACGGGAATTTGCAAAATGGTATAATTTAACTTCTCTGCGATGTAAATGCCACACCCGCCGGGGGCCTGGATGATTATGTGGCCGAGGTCTATCTTTCCAAATGAAATTGTAGCCTGGTATTTTGAAGGCGTTTTTTGGTGATAATCTAGTTTCTTGCAGAGCTATAATGTCGGGGGCAATTTTGTTATGGGCGATGAGTGCCTTGAGCTCATGCCCATGCGCTCGGAGACTGTTGCAATTCCACTGAATAAGTGCCATGGTTACTGTAATTTGAAATAAGAGTGTACTAAATGCCATGGCGTGGGGCATGAATTTGGAAGAAAAGTAGATTTGGTGCTTTAGTGGTTTAGTGATTGGTGTTTAAAAAGACAGGATATGTGAATGAGATGAATTATCAAACTTGTTTGAAATTTATTCTTAGCACCTATATTTAGAAAAGGGATCCAAATTCACATTCCATAGCGCGGATGTCGTCTCCGGCGTCCGCGCGCCGCACCTCAAAACAGCCATTTCGACCCCCTTCACCTCGCCCGGCTACGACTTACCCTTACAATAACACCAGCCCCAGCCCTACAGCATACATTGTCTTCTCCGACGTCCGCGCCCCTAGCAAACACTCCATTCAATCCCGTCTCACCAATCACAATCACCAACAATCTTCTACCTCTCCCCTCAGGCACGGCCATCCACCCAATCTCCCAACTCGCCTTCTTTGCTATCTCTCCCCCCCCCCTTATCTTTACCACAATGCAGCTTAACGGTATTATCTATATTAAGTCCACCTATAAACAACCTAGTAAACAACAAAATACCTTTTGTTTTCGCTTCCTTTCCCTTTATAAATTCGGCTTTTCGTTATTTTTAAGTTATGTTTTATCGTTTCTATTATAAATTCACTAAGGTTAACGTCCCTACATTTACATTTATTTAGGCATGGTGTATTATTCCTTATTACCAACTATTCATATGTATTGCTAAAACCCACCAGCCCCGTCGGCCAAATTGGCTTCCGCCAGAAGCCGACATAAAATCATAAAAATTCGTCGTCGTATCGGTACCTTTCATCTGGGACTAGGAAGACTATTGAACAACACACACACACACACGCGCACGCACACACACACGCGCACGCACACACACACGCGCGCGCACACACACACAAGGTATGTTATTCTTCAATTTTTTTCAAAATTGAACTGCTGTGTGATTCATTTTTGAATACGTGGCAGTACAGATATAATATTACTGAATCTGTCTGGAAATATGTGGTATTTTGATACAAACTATAACCATTGTCTACTTAGTAATTAGGTTTGCATTAACATTGCGTGCCAATTATACAATTCACAGTAATTAATGTTTGTGTTTCTAATTGTTATAGAAACAATGTACGCAGAACGTTGCATTCTTCCATTTGTCTTAAATCATCGAAATGAGGAGCAAGTTTGGCTTATTCAAAGGAACTGAAGTCATTATAAAGTCAAAACCCAACACCCTGACGGTGGTGAGGATGCCCATGGATTTTGGGGAAATGAAGCCAGGGTATCACATGGCCACAGATGTCATTCTGAAAGAGAATGGCGTATTGAGACTGTATAACAATTCGAAGGTAAATAATAGACTTTTCTTTGGGTTAGAATGGGGAAGCGAATATAAAATACTTGTAAATGTTCAATGATTCTTAGAATAAACATCAATTGTTTTAAAAAAAACTAAAATTCACTTTTTGATATGATGTTAGTTGAGTTGCAAGTTTTTTGTTAATTCTTCTTCATATTTCACCAACAAACCACGTGAAGAACTTTTTGTGCAAAAAAACATACATGTACGTTGTATAATCCCATCATTTAAACTGCCATACCATCATATCGTATATGCAGTCCACAATACTTAAAGCCAATTTAATTGTTACTATAAATAATATTTCATTTCAGTATGTAATATACTCATGTTTGATGATTTCTCTATATTTGCTTTCATACAGATTCTTTCTTTCTTTTCATTCCCTACAATGAAGGGCTGCTTGAGGCATGTGAAAACCGCGAAAGAAGCTCTGAGTACGCCTTTAGGGACCAAAATAACTGTGGTTGGAAAAGTAGAACAAGTCAGTATTATTAGGGAATCACATAATTCTAACCAATTCGCCGTTATTTGATACTTTGTCTCAAAACAGTACCAGATTTAACATTACAAACTAAACAAAACAAGACAAATATTTTCGTTTACAAAATAACAATTTAAATATAAGTTCACATTTTGTGTCATTTAATTAGTGAATTCCTTTCTGTCAGGGTGTCACAGGCATTTGAGACTGATTTAAAGACAGTCACGCTCACAGAAGAAAACCACAACATGGCCGTGAAACTCTGGGCCAACCAATCATCGTTGGATACCCCAATGAACCAGCTGATTAAGATTTCCCATGTTTGTGCAAAAGAGTACAAATTTAAAAAAAGACCTGAACTCCACAAGTTTGACGACGGTTGAGGTGAGCAACAGATGATTTTTAATACCCAAGTAAATGACATCTATGAACACTCGTTACTTAAAAAACAATTTACTTAATTTCTACCATCTGCGTCATTCAGGAAATATATCTTACTAGCTCTTTTGTAATATATGCCTAAGGAAGTATAATGTAACATTTTGAAAACACGACACAATTGTGTGATAAAATAACATTCATCTCTAGACTCATCATATTCTCTTGTAGGTAGTCCAACAAGAAGTAGAGCTCATCGAAGGAGAGGTGGATGGGATTGGATTTGGCAAGTAAGTAAATGATCAAGTTGATATTCACACCATCGAGGAATACCATGTATTTACTTTTTTACACACCCCACACCCCTTAATAAGCGAAAGCGCTTAAAATTGAATGAAAATTGAATTCTATATATAATGTATAGATTATCTCATTCCAGCGAGGAACCAATGGTAGTCATCAATGGAAGTGTGTATCACTGTGACAGAAACATTATCACAAAGCCAGACCGTGCCATGTGGGACAATCAAATGCCTTGTGAAAGGCGATTCTGTGTTGTCCATGTGAGTATAACATTTATATCTGTATTGGTATTTATCGCAGGAATTACACCGCAATTACCATGATTCTGATAGATATAGTTAATTTGTAAAAGGATAAATAGGTACGAGTTATATATTAGGTTCCTATGTAACTCATCTGACTTTTCAAATCATATGCTAAAGGTTTGGCCATTTAATACATACAATGTGCATATGACATAAGTATGTATTTATTATTCTTCACAAATTTTCTTCATAATCATCGTACAATTTTGTTTCACTTGCCAGGAGGAGAAGGAGGAAGAGGAAACAGAGAGCAATTGAAAACACATCAAACAGATGAAAACAAGGTTTGTTAATATCCTCCATAAAACTACTGTACTGCTCATTATGAAATAAGTTACATTCACATAAAACCGCTAGTATGGTTTTTACGCAATTGTAAGCGATATTCCAGAATATCACGGCGGGGAACACCAGAAATGGGCTTCACAAGTTGTACCCATGTGGGGAATCGAATCCGGGCCTTCGGCGTGACGAGTGAACGCTTTAGGGCTACCCCACCGCCCCACATCTCACCAAGGAGAATAGAAGACGCTGTAGATTATCCCTGATCAGACCGAATCACCCTCGAGAGAAGCATACAGCTTATATTATTATACCTATCTTAACATCACTCTTAACAACAACAAAGAGTAAAGCTCTGCACTCTGCTACTGAATACATATCAGAGAATGCATTTTCATGTATATTATATGAACTCCATGGATGGTACCTACAATGTACTACAGGCATGTAACCTTCTCAGTGCCTAATAAAGATTAAATTAAAGTCATTAACAGATGTTTAGATACTCATGTATCTATAAAGACTTTCTTTGGGTTATTAATTGAAATTACTCATAACTGTAACCAAATAATCAAATGAGAAGATTTTTACAGAATATGTTTGATGATTTCAGATGAGCCACCGGTCAAAAAGTATCAGAAAGATCACGGAGGTAACCCACTTATGTTTCTTCCCTTTCAAAAGTCACACAATGACCGATCCTGATGTAGATACTTAAAGTTCGAAATGTCGATGTACTTAGTAATCCCTTTAAAGTAGCGGGTATATGTCCTTGTGTTGATGTTCTGTATGCGTGCAATGTTGAATGCCTGTCATTTATATTTGCAGTACGACCACACACCTCTGTGAGAGTAATAAAGAAGATTGTTCTGGGCATATGCAGGCCCCAAGACACAATAGGTACTTCCATCTCATTTATACGATACATGTTCTTGGCAGTTATTACATACGTATCTATTGTCTTGACAATTGTAAGCGTCAGCTGTCACACAAGACTAACTATGTCATTTTAAAATGACATAGACATCAATATGATGTAGACATCCTAGGACAGCATTGCATACCAAATTGTTTCCCCAAGTCTTTCTGCGTTGACATCTGCCTTATTGGATGCTTCGACCGATCCATCTACCTAGCTTTCAACACTTGGGATGTTGGGCCTTGAGCGAAAATGCAACGTTTTCATCGTTGGCATTGTCTTGATCAGGATTGTTTTAATTTCTTTGTAAGTCATCTCATCCGATATTTATCATGTACTGTACGACGTCTCTTTTCAACATGTCAGTGATGCGTAAGCCAATGGAAACTGACCACTCGAGAATATCATCATGAAGGCCTCGGGTAAATATTGAAGTTAATGTGTGTGTGTGTGTGTGTGTGTGTGTGTGTGTGTGTGTCTGTGTGTGTGTCTGTGTCTGTGTCTGTGTTCATAACTTAACATAGTGCCTTTATAATCTCAGTCCCAAGCCAGATCCGGACTTCCTCCCATCTGACAAACAGGTCGCACCAAACTGAAAGCAAACACAAAAACGGTACGTTAACCAGTCGTAAACAGAACAGTGTAATATCCAACAATTGGGTGTTGAAAGTAATTCATTATTTGAACGAGCATCCCAAATTAATCTTTTTAAAGAATTTCACTTGCCTAGTATATATATTTGCTTTTTATTTCAGGTCAGAGACTTATCCTTGGGGATTCCCTCTCTCGGTGAATTAGAGGAATTCCCAACTGCAAAGTACTTGCCCATCATGGAGCCACATTACAGAAAATAGATGTTTTATTACTCAATATGTGTTTAATAAATGATCACGCCTTTTTTGTTACATGTAGGTACAAACAGTGTTTCATCATTTCATGCTGATCGTTTTCAATCTCAAAATTATAATTTAATAAGGTCTATAGAATCGCTGAACCCTGGTGTTGTGATAATATGTTGTGGCATCATTCCACGCACCATGGATTTCAGCCAAACACGAGGGTGGTAATCCGTGCGAATAATATAATAAGGCATGTGTGCACGGTTCTCCGATGTAAGAATGTGCAAACATCTAAAATATTTTTTTTTATATTTGGGAACCGGTGAACCAAGGCACTATTTTATTGTTCGGACGGATTACACCTTAATGATAAAGGGAAATATCAGCTGAAAAGGTCATTTGACCAAGCATTGTCACATGCCTACAGATAAACTGTTTTCAGCTGATATTTCTATTTATTTCCAAATGTAATTGCATATCTGAAGAAGTTTGATAATCCATTTTCGGTATAAATGCAGATTGTATGAACATCTTCCCGGTTTTAACAATCAATATAACTTTGCATCTTGCACTATCCATCAATGTTCTTTTGGTCGTTCATCTCTCCACAATAGTGAATCTGGATCAAAGCGTTGAAATGTTTGTTTAGTACTTTTGATTTACCTTTCCCAGGGAGAAACTATATAAAAGATGTTTACATCTGATGTTTTTTGCATGGCCATAATGACAGTACACTGGGACAAAACCCTACCTACAGCTCGAATACAAATATTTATTTATTACCTATGTCAATATATTTTCGCCTATGCAAACTTAAAATTACAAGTTGGACTCATTTATATTAATCTTTATTCGGTGCTTAAAAGTCCACACGCCCATAACACATTTATACACAGAATATTTACAACTGTACAGAAGACAGGCCTAGGTCAAATATTTACACATTACAACTGTAGGAGAGATTTTCTATGTATAAATGCAAATAGATATACATTCACAGGTTATGTAATTGATTAGACTAAGTAGTTTCCTTTGTTAATAGTATGGTCATTTATATTTCATTTGGATGGGTATTATAAGATGTTAAATATTCCTTTCTAAGCTTTTTATAGGCGGGGCAGATAAAAAGGAAATGGCATTCGTCTTACAAATTCTATGATTACAAGGAATATTGATATAACGCTCAGTTTCAACAAACAAATCATGCGATGAGCAGCGAGAACTTGATAAACCTACCGAATTTCTTTACAGTGATTTTTTTTAAAATATGATATTCTTGGCATAGTTCACATTTCCATTGTTTATAATACAGACATTTAGAAGACATATATTGATTCAAGGGTGTTTGTTGATAGATGTGTTTCATTTTCGTTACTCAGTGACTACCACACTCGTCACACACCGTGGTGCTACATGTGCTAGATTCCAAGCATCTCAATGATTTTTTGTAAAGGATCATAAGTATTCAAACCCCAGATTTCAGATCCATATGATAGTGTTTGGCTTACTTTATTATCAAATACTATAAGGAATGATTTAGATGACATTTCCCCCAAAAATACGAATATTTCTTACTTCATTTATCAAAACAATTTAGGCTTGTACAGTTTTGCCTGTTTTGTCTAGTTAAAACAAGAAATCTTATCAAAAAAACAGAATCTAAGATATCCATATACGTTTGTAGTGTCAAGTTTTTCGCCTCTGCAAATGCATTTCTCTTTTTTTGAAAGTTTCCCATCAATCTTAAAAACAATAACCTTTGCTTTACTCCTATTAACTTCCACATTCCATTATCAGAACTGATTTCAAGTTGATCAATTTGTTTCTGTAGACCAGTTATGATGCTAGAAAATAAGACAACGCCATTCGCAAAGAGTAACAAGAATAATAGACTAAACTCAGAGTGTAACTGGATGCCGTCTGCACAGTTATTACATGTTGGCACAGTTAAATCATTGATACAAAATGAAACAGAAAGGGACTTAAAATACAGCCTTGTCTGACACCTAAGTGGCTAATGACATTTTCTGCGACTGTATTATTGTTTCTTACGTAGTATATATAGAAATGACAAAGTATGTGTAACATTTTATTCTTTTTTTGACTAAGTCGATACGTTTACAAAAGGCCCCATCTCCGTAGGGCAGTTCATTCTCATAGGGCATAGACATTTCCATCTCTTGAATTAAAATATTTTTGCACAATGGATTGAAGCATGAGTACATTGTCTGTTGACTCATTTATATACAGATGTGCAAGACGGTAGTTTTTGCGTCCCTTGGAAAAAGACCCTGTGATCTGTAAATTCCTTGCATTTCATCTTCAATATAAATAAATGAAGTTTTCAGAAGAAACTTCGTTATGTTATTTGGTGCAAGAATTACCTAAGGTTTCACGGCCTAGAATATATGTATTCTTCTGAAATGCTGAGATGTCCGTCTACATTTCATATGTAGACCATGCCTTTCCATCGCTTCCCAAAATATTGTTAAAAATCGCCGAAAACTGCAAAAATACATGTCATCCCAGCTTGGAGTATCATATATATGTATATAGGGCTGCCATGGTCGAATGTGCGTGTAGGTGTGCTGGAAACACCGGCCGCATCAACACTACAGCGTTTAACCTAGACTCATTGTATTTCCTTTCTACAATGCAGAGATGTCCGTCTCTTCAAAATTGACGAAACACCGTGCTTCGTGGACATAACTGGGACCAACACCCTCGACTTCTTCGGTAAGAAGAATGTTGATGCGATCCATGAACGACACGAGACAAATAGATTTACGGTAGTATTGTGTATCTTGATGAGCGAACAGTTGGTGTTAAATTGGATTGACAATGTCTTGAAGTCCAGGGGCAAATTCTTTGCAACCATCCCATCTCTGATATTTATGGACAGTCATAAAAGAAACAACACGAAATCAGTCATCAAAGAATTGAAGTCACTAAATATTGTGACCAAAATCATCCCACCAAAATCGACACCATATTTATCACCAGCTCGACGTGTCTGGTGGAGTCAACGGACCATTTAAAGCTAAGCTCAGAGAACTGTGGCAAGACTGGCTCACCAATGGAGAATGGGAATATACTCAAACGGGAAACATAAATTGGCTTAAATACGGGAAATCCCGGAATGACGTGTCATCCAAAACAGCAAGCATGACCGCTCAATTCCACTAGTCTCTTGTGACAAGCATGGGTTAGTAAAGATGAATTCTAACCCAGATCTTTACAATATAACACAGGCTATAGTCAGTGTCAGTGAGTTAAACTTTCAGCAGCAATATTTTAGCCATATGAATTGTTATACATAGCAATTAATGGTAAATTATAAAAACCTGTCAACGAAGGACAGTAAAATAACTAGATTACCACTGATATGAATTTATATCTAGCTAATAAATCAAAAACAGTTTAACTA